CACGTGTCTTGTGCTTAGCAAAATAGGACCCCTGCCATGTCGAGGGGAATGAGAAGAGAGGGAAGCTTTCATTATTATAGTCATAAAACTAACATTAGGTAATACACGGTGATTTTAAATATTGTGAGCTGCTGGTCATGCGGCAGAATTAGGCTGGGTTGTTATTTATTGCAGGAAAAAAGGGGAATTTGCCCATGTTTTTATGACATGCTGGATACTCCACTTACACAACTGTCTAAGGGCAAACACTTTAACCCCTTGAGATCTGCTAATCAGGAGCACCAGCTGGTAAGTGCCAGTGTGCATCCAGCATTCATGCCTGCGGGGAGAGAAAGGGCTGCAAAGGATATGACCCTAAACTTCAGAAACCTCTTCTCTCCTTGGGGGCAAAATATCATTCAGCTTGCATCTTCTCCTGTTTTCTTTCAGTTTATCCAGTTAATGTTCCTGGTGTGGGTTGTTGTGCACTCACTGTGAATGCTTCAAGCCTTTAGGAAGATGATAGTTAATTACTGAAGTTAAAATCTGGCTTGCACTGGTGTGGAAGTGCTTTCAGAGGTATTTATTCAGCCAGCTCACTGAGCTGCTAGGGGCAGGGGAAGGCTGGCAGTATCTGGCTCACAGTGAATTACTGCAAATGTATGTTCTGTTTGAAAAAAATAGCACATTGCACAGTCATTTTTCACAATACTGTTGGTACAATATTAGCTCAGTCTCACACTAAGTTACATTGGTATGTTCGTTTAAAACAAGCAATGAAATCCTTTGTGAAAAAGGCTGTCTCAAACACAACCCAAATTTATTCCCTGCAAAGTGAAATGCAGTCAAAAGATGAAAAGGCAGTTCTTTATTGTATAAATGCTTTTTCTTTTATCCTTCTCTTTAGCTTCTGAAACCACTAGCAGACACATATATATTGGTGGGAAGAAAAGATAGAAAATACTGTATTTTTGACATGTTTTGTTTTCCTTTCCAAATGTCACTTGCTCTCCAGCCTAGTATTTTTAACCCTTCCTTTAGATTATTTGTGGTATGACAATGAATTTACATCTGCATCTATTACTGGACTTAATAGTTCAGAAGCCTAAGCAAAATACTTCCAATAATTGGATATCCTTGGAATCAGTGAATCAAGCTCTTCTAACTTTTGCTCTACACCACTGCATCAAATTTAGTTTGTGTGAGCTTTCCAGATAAGCAATGTTGCAAATGCCTTAGCAGTATGTGGATATTTTGCAGCCATCTCACTATAAGCATGACTTGACCCTAATGTCCTTAGATGCAATATTCCCCTCTCCCAATGTCATGCAGCATATGCTGGATTTTTGTCACCTGAATTGGCTCAAAAGCATAAATAAATTGTTATTGGGTAGTGTAGAATGGAATGCCATATTGTCATACTCCCAGATTAAAGATAAAGCCTCAGCATGGCAGAGAAAGTGTTGAATTTGTGTCAGATTCCAGCAAAATAATTCCAAAGAGAATTGAAAGTTCATGCTGCACTTAAACACCGAGCTCTTCTCACCTGTGAAGGCAGGTGGGGTTCAGACCTCCCTTTGTACCTTGAAAATGTCTTTGTCTGTGTCTGTCACCAGAAAACTTTTTACAGACTATTGCACACGCCAGTGACAGTGAGCTGAATTTACATAATCCAATAGCAGAGTATCCTAAGCTTGAATAGAAAAAAAGCCCTCATCACAAAATGAGATTTAGTAGAGGACAAGCAATATATATTTAAACACATTTGTTTTAGTCACAATAAGGGAATAGATGCAGAACATGTAGATGCAGAGGAGGAAGAGAGGCTTACTCATGTAGAGAGAGAATGAGTCATGCTGGCTTTTTCCTATGCCATTGATTTCATCTCCTGTCCTGTGAATTTTCTTGTTCCAAGATGTTTTTCTTCTGAAACAGTGTCCTGTCTCTGCAGCACTAAGTTTCATTGATCAGTCTCTCCAGGCACTTAAGTATTTCCCATCACTGTAGTATCCAAGGCATTCAGAGGTGATAAAAATGGTGCAGCAAACCAATCCCTGTCTCTGCTTTGGATTGTCTCTAATCCAATGGCATCTCAACAAGACACTTGATTTGCTTTGCTTTTCCTTAAAATTACCTATGGCTGAGGACATCTGAAATGCTTTTGGGTGACCTGCTGATCACAACACATGGGCTGGGGACACTAGTGAGTAAAAACTGATGTTTTAGGAACTTTACTGACAAAACTCTTCAGGACAAGCTTCCCATTAAGCACCCCAGACCACTAAGACTCTTCTTATGTTCCAGTGCATGCATATTCTTTGGTGTTTTCCTAAATCAGGATTTTTTAATCAAGTGTTGTTCATACTATTAGTCATGTCATTCCCTTAATGATGATAAAAAAGCAAACATCAGTTCACTAGTAAATGCCGCAGTCTGCATGACAGAAATGGAGGAATTAACTCTTTCAAAGGTAAACTCAGATGGCCATTAAAAAGTGTAACTATGTCTTGTCATAAACCTTTTCTCTTTTTGTCCTGAGGGTAGAATATTTTCAAATAAAGATCATCACTCAGTGGTGGGGGGACATACATGTTACAGTCATGGGTACTTGAGCCTGCCAGCTGCAGAAGGGGAATCTCTGAGTTCATCCTTGCACCATACACCTGGGAAGCTCAGAACTGTGGTTAACCTTGTCCATGGATAGCAGTGTCTTGAATATTTCTCATATCTTAATTTCTGAAAGGAGAATTCCTCTTACTTTGAACCAAGATGCTAGTGGAACATTTTGTTTCCTGGTAATCAAATGAAGCTACAAGTGAGGCTGTAAAGTATGTGCAGTACTCACATAGCTCTGCTTCCATCCACAACTGTGGTGGAACAGGAAAATCCCACATAATTGCACATGTATGTGTCAGAGCAAACACTGAAGAGAGCTACTGTGTTACACCAGTGTTAGGGTTTGTGAAGAGAGCACCTTTAGTGATGCTTTCCAGATTAATTGCCACTGCAAAACCTGCAACAGATTTAAGGTATAATTACTGTCACTGTTATCAGACTTTACAGTGTATGTAAGTATTGCTTTGCTCTGTTGTAAGGAGATCTGGGGGGTTTTAATTTTAAAATAAAACCTTCTATTTTTTTTCAAAGCTCATTGCTGTAAATCCTGGGGAGGGGTGGGGAGCAAAAGGTGTGCAATGCTTCAATCCATGGTAATTAGCAAAACTGTCTGTAAGATACCATTTCTAAGTTGTGAATATTATATTTACTGAAATAATTCATTCCATTTCTGATACAGCTGAAGAACATATTTTCATTTATTTGAAGAACATATTCCAAATCAATAATTCTTGTAGAGCTGATAATATTTTAAAATATAATTTCATCTATTTTATCCAGGAAACCAAATGAAATCATTCACTATTCATTGCTTTTCTGGATTTTTTAAAAGATGGTGTTGAGCTATAAAGTTGAGTTGGGAAAATGAGGAGGTGCATGATGTTTGCATTGATATGACCCCAACTATAGATAGACAAGCCCTTAAATTACAAGAGCTGTAGGAAGAGTGGTAAGTGTTGGGTCCAATTCTCCAAATCTAGTTCTGGGAATTCAACAAGTATGTGTTCTAGATGTGTACAAGTTACATTGCAGCAGCAATGCTCTAGGTGCATGGCCCACAAGCTGGCCACTGAGACCCCTGTGAATATTTGGGGATATTTAAATGCCTCCAGAAGGAAATCCCAAATTGGCAGAGGGTGGCTCAGGAAATTTGTAGGAGAAGGCAGCAGGAAGCAGTTGACAAGTCTTCTTCAGAGCACACCACTGAGTATCCCTTAAAATAGAGCAGATTCCAGAATTGTGGCCAATCCCTGCTCTTGATAAACCATCCAATGACAAAAGTGAATGTACAAAACAGGAGAGAGCTGAGGTCAGCATGTGTCCAAGCTCCTGTAGCTATGGGCCCATGTCAGCCCTAGGAGAGTGAACAGCCACCCAGGGCAGTAGGGCATAGTGGAGCAGGGATGGGGTGGAATGGCCCATCTGCCTGGCGCTTTGGTACCCTGAGATGTTCTTGCAAGATGCAGAAGGGAGCAGATACAAGAAAACCAAATTCTCCATGTGAAATTTTCTCCTCAAAGGCTTTCCAGACAGCATTTTATTCTTGAAGCTCATACGGGAAGGACCAAAATCCTGATTCCCCCTCAGTCCCTTCATAAAATATCAGATTAGGCACTTAAGGAAAATGAGGAGGGTGATCTTGAAATATCAGTCACTGGAGGAAATTGAGGAGGAAATCAGCATCTCCCTGTCCCCTTCAATTCTCTAATCTTTGTGGATTATAAGAATGGGAAGAGTCTCAAGGACTTGCTTTGATCTCCATAGTTCATTTTTGAAAGAAAGCTCCCCTGTGTGCATGGGGCAGGGAGCCAGTCCCAGCCAGGCTGTCTGTGCCTGCTTCACACGCCCTGGTGCTACCAATGGCTACAGGGCAGCTGTGGCCAGACACCTGGAGTGGAACCTAAAGAAAATGTCACAGACTGGCCAGGTGAAACAGTGGCCACACAGCAAGGTCCTGATCTAGGAAGCCACAGACAGGTTTTCTGGGTGCCAGCTGCAGGTAGCAAAAGGTCACCTAAATCTTGTTTTTACAGCATTAATCATTGTGTGGTTCAGGCCCTTTATTCAGTGCATAATCTTAGAAGTGACAAAGGGGACACTCAGTGGCACTGCCATGACAGACCCTAAAGTTGCACAAAATATATTCTGCTCTGGTGCAGAGACATTTTTAAGAATTTGTTTTTTCTCTGGTTTCTCTTGAATTAATGTTAGTAAAAGGTGCCCCAACCTCTTATTTTTCTATATGAAGACAAAAATTGCAGCTGCCTGCCAAGTCTGCTGAGAGATGGATGTAATAATTTTCAATTGGACTGTTAGCCCAAAGGGAACCCGATAGCAAGAGATTGACAGATGCAGCATGGATTATCTTGTGCTCTGAACTCAGCCCAATTTGTGGTTTGTTGCAGGTGCTAAAGAGATTGATATTGCTGCTACCCTGGAGCACTTGAGGGACCAGAGACCAGGCATGGTCCAGACAAAGGTACTGTCAATAAATCCACTGGGATTTTAAATACATTAAAGGTCTTTCACAGTAGTTGTTTTCATGACAGAAGAGAAAGGGTATGACCTAATTTAACGCAGGTCGCTTGCTGATTACTCTGTTTGGCTCCCTACCAACTGAGGTTTATTTATGCTGAAGATTTATCTAGGTTACTTTCTTTGGTGTTTACTGTTCTTTCTTGTAACATCTCCAGCATCTATCTTGATTATCATATATGAAGGGCAGTCAAGACAACAATCTTGCCTGCTAAAGAAAATGTGCATTTGAAAGAATGTTCTTGCTTTCATCCTGAACTATGGATTATTTTCTTAGCGTATCTGTGCTTAACTGTGGCATGTAATATTTTTTTGAAAGCTTCTACTCATTAAAGAGAATGTAACTGCTGCATTTGATATTTTTTGCTGAAAAAAAGAACTCATAAGTTTTGAATTAAAGGAAATAAAACTTTGCAGGGAATCAAGTAATCTTTAGTATCTTTGAATGGAGGAGCTTGCATCAGCCTTTATGGATGTAACATGGCAACTATATTTTTACACTTTGGTGAGATGAATGCCTTATTCTCAAATTCCTGTCAGTTGTAATAGTTTTGACATTTTTCTACAATGTAAAATTTTTAAATATAGAAGCTGATGGTGCAATTCTAGTACCTTAAATTAGAAATGAAACTTTCTGTTATTAACAAGTCTAGTGATGTATGGAATGATATTGTGGGATATATGCCACAAGTTAAGAGCTGCAAATATGACAATAAAAGAACTCTTTAATGGTATGAAGGTGAAATAAATCTGTTTATGGCCTTATAAAATATCAAATGATAGTTATAGTCCCAAACTGAGTAACAAGAGCAATGTGACAGCACTGTGTCTTGGCCAGGCTGGAATTGATAGAAAATTCTGCAGTGAATTGAAATTCCTGAGGGGCAAAGGTGAAATAAATGTGTGTTGCAGGAATCATTGGTTCATAATTTTTCCTGACTCTCTTCTCAATCATGTTATTTTCCACTAATACTAGGGGAAAGTACTGCTGAGAAACAGCTTGGGGAATGTTAATTATTATTTACCAATTATGTAAGTGCATAAAAAATAAAGATGAGCAGTCAAATCTAACTAATCTTTATCTGCAAGGAAGACATAAAATTGCACAAGTCTTTTTCTGCTTTGATTATTCCAACTGGAACAAAAGGCAAATAGCACACAGTATCCAATGTCATATATATTTACTCTGAGGTAAGATGCAAATCCTGGGCTACTCTGCAAATGTATTCAAAATATGTAGCAGCTCTGTGGCAACATAGAGCTCAGATTATAGTTTCCTTTTCAGGGCAGAGAAATTATGGCTTGTTGCCTTCAACAAAAGAAAAAAACATTGCTCCAGAACCAAAGAATGTGGTTATATGAACAACTTCTCCTACTTAGCCACCAATAGTTACCTGAATTCCATGAAAATCTCCCTCAATACATGTTTTTTCCCTCCAAACATTTGTCTGGAAGAGCTCCAGAAAACAAATGTATCCTGTGTTTTCATCCAGAATGAAAAATTTTCTCAGGATGTTGCTTATCTCTCCTCTTGCTCCTTCTTCCATCATTGTCATTTTCTCAAAACCACCCAAATCACTTATTCAAGCTAATGTCTTGCAAATTATAAATATCTGGTTACATGCTAGCAATGCATAATCCCCAGAGAATTTTTTCTGATGGATTTAAACAAACCCCTGTGCTTTCCCAACTGAATACAAATGAGGAATATTAGACTCTAGGAGTAATTTAAAACGATGGATTAAAAGTCAGGTTAGAAATGCCAATTACAGAATATCCCTAGGCAAAATAAACACCAACTTCCTTCAGCAATGTTATTTTGTTTCCAGCAGGCAGCGCTCCACCTTTCCAATAGGCATGGGAAAGATTTGTTTGCAGAATTTTGTCTTCTGGAAGGGATCTTTAATTCAGAAGCACTGTATATAATAAATTGAAATGAAATTATCATAACAGCATTCTGCATTTCTAAGAAGCATAATAGAGGATTTGTGGGTTTGTTGGATTTTTTTTTTTCCAGGGGAATTGTAAAATAGAATTGATATGTCACATATGAGAGGAAAAAGTAATGAAGGACGAAGTGTATTCTCTGTGATAGGAAAAATATATATTTCTTTTTTTTTCCTGTCTCCTATATCCTCTCACAATCTATAATAGTAGATAGATTCCTTTCTTTGTTATATATGCTACATGAACCTGGGAATTTTTATTTGTAGACTTAATGAAACATAGCCATAGTTACTTTTTATTAAGTATATTCTTGTCACCTCTGCATTATAGCTGAACTGAGACCACAGAATGTCTGTCCAGCTACGTTTTCTAGGCAAAGCTAGATGTTAAAATTCATCTCCAGGCAGTCTTGTACATGCAAATAAAACATGTGAATGGCAGTGTAGCTGTACAAAACAACAAACTGAGCTCCTTTAGAAATTACTGACATTAATTTGCTCTAACTGCAGTTGTCCTCATGGAAAAGTGTGGAAGGTGTGGGAAGACTTTTCCTGGGAGAGTGGTGATGCACATCAGTGGGAGATGCACTCCCTGCCTTTCACCTGGCTGTGTTATGCAGAAGGATGGAGGGGAAGAGCTCAGCTGGCCATCCCTGACAGGCCATGTCCTCACACATCTTATTTCTGCTCTCCTGTCCCTTTGCAGTCAGTTCTGAGCTCTGGCTGTGCAGATTATACTCTGCAAATTGTTTTGTCTCAGTCATTAAGGTCACACTGCCTGTTCCTCAGTCCCTGGTGAGGCAGACACTTCCTCAGGCTTTTTGAGCTGGTGCAAGCATCCAGTTTGGTTCTGCCCCAAAATGTCCCATATATGCCCCCTCTGACCCTGCTGCTCTCCAGCTTCCCTCACACACTCATTGTGCTCCAGTTAAAATACAACTGATGCTCCTGGATGGCCCCATCTTTCCCAGAGTTTCCTTTAATTGCAAAGACCTTAGACAGTGCAGGGAGCCTCAGGCAGTCTTGCACACCATCTTCAGTGCCTTCTGAGGATGAGTCCTACTCTTCAGGGTGAATTGATGTCTGATTAAAAGCTGTTGGCTGCAGTCCAGCAAGTGTACATGGCTGCCACTTTGACAGCAACAAGCAGACAGCAAAATTCTTGAATGGCAGTGTCGCTGAGAAATTATTCTGTTTTATTCTGCTTTTTCTGCTCTGGCACTGTGCCCATCATTGCTTCTCTGAAGCATCTCCACATGGGAGCTGACTGCAGTCGGGTAAGACAAGGCAGAGAAGACTGGCACTGGATTGCAGGAATTAAGAGTCAGGTGCCTTTCTGAACTATGAGTTGTACATCTGTAGCTTGTTCTTTCATCCTTCCTGAACCTTTCTGCAGTAAAATGAAACACTGTGGAAAATTAATGTTATCGGTTCAGTGATCACTTTTGGGGGTGGCTGTGTTCTGTAACCATCCCACACAGCCCCTGGCAGCACCAACTGAGGTGCCAGAGGTACAGACCTCCAGTTTTCTAATGGGAGACACAGACAGTGTCCCAGCAGTGATCTTGGGCTGCTTTGAAGGGTGCATCTCAAACCTGCATCCTCAGAGTTGATTCCTCAGCAGTTCTTCCTCCAGCTGGCTTAAACCTCTGGAGTACTTCCAGAAAATTCAGGAATTTCTCCACAGTCCTTATCTGGTGTCTTTGATTTGCCTGTATTTTAAGAAAACTTTCCACTGGAAAGTCTCAAACTCCAAATCACCCTGTCAGTTATTTCAGTAAGCTAAATTACTGAGAAAAAAAATCACTTGCTTGGAAAATGCAACACCTGTTAACTATGAGGATTTAAAACTGCTTTGTCCTTCTGTAGGACTACACAGTTCAAGAGTGTGTTAGGGTTGCATTTAGAAGAAGTAGCCATTCATGGCTGTGTCCCTCACACCTCTGCCAGCCCAGGACAGAAGCTGGTAAATAATTTTGGTGTTGAGGTTACAGTAAAGCAGAGAAAAGCCTTCCCAAGTATTTCTTCTATAGGAGTGGTCTTAACAAAATTGCATAATTTCTGAGTGCGGAATGGACATTAAAAAGAGAGGTTCAAGAAGATCAATGACAGGTAAGCCAAAAAACAGATATTGTTCTATATAATAGATATCAAGGGAGGAGATATGTATTTTAGGTTCTTTCAACTAGAAACAGTTCTGAGAAAAGCCAAAGTCTCTGCTTTACAGCATCTCACTTACTTCATATTTCAATAATGTATTAACTTCCCATCTCTGTGTCAGAAGGAAATGGTTGGTGATCAGCTACTCCCAAGCCCTTCTGACCATGCAATGGCAATATATCACTGTGCCCCAATAGCTTGGGCTCTGCTACTAACATTTTTCTCCATTAAAATGACTCTGGCTTCAAGATGCTGTCAAACATGTTATATGACATCAATACTCCCAGAACATTTTGTTCCTTTCTGTTGCAGTGTACAGTTCACCGTGCATATTCATATTTCTAACAATGTCTTGAGGACATTCAGCTGCAGAATAGAGCACCAGGCTTTGTGGCAAGTGTTTTGTTTTGTTATTCAGGGTGTGCATTTGTTCTCTCCGCAGGAGCAGTTTGAGTTTGCTTTGACAGCAGTGGCAGAGGAAGTGAATGCAATACTCAAGGCCCTTCCCCAGTGAGCAGCTCAGTCTCCTGAAGGTTCCTGCAGAATCCATCCCTCGTTTTCCTCATCCTCAGTCCCTGTGAATGTTCTTGGAAACCGTGACCTGACCTTAACTGTGTATCTTCTGTTGTAACCACATAGTGATAGGGTCCTCACAAACTGCTTTAGCTGGTAAAAGTTCAACAGTTAAAATGTGTATTCTGTTTTTTGGGGGTTTAAACAATTTTTTTAAAGTACATCAAAGCCTCGGATTAAGTGACAGAACAATCCATCTAATTCCTCCTACATCCTTGAAGCCCTGAATGTCACACTTTGAAAGCACACATTAATGTTCTTAATAGCAAATATACAATATTGTGGGTAATTAGTGCAGAAAACAGTGTTCTGTTATATTTTTCAACTTCTCAAAAGCTAAATAAGAGTGAGGGCTGAAGAGAATGGTGATTGTTCCCATATAGTGCCAAGCTGAAGCATGAAACAGTGCAGTGGGTGTGAGCAAACACAGGTCCAGACTCTGGCAAGGAGAGCTTGCACCTTCTCATGCCAGGCTTTGGCAAGCAAATGCTTTCTTAACTGTTGTTTACTTTTCAGCTTTGTGCCATGAGAGGCACAAAATCTGAGCTATGAGAAAAGAGGCTTGCATGGTTGTTGCAACTGGGGAGAAAACATGTTGGTCACATTAATGGGAAGCTAGGGAAAAATGAGCACAACTCATGTACCTGGCATGACAGCACAGAAGAGGAGAGCATAGGCTCCCTTCAGGTGATGGGAAAGGTCCTGTCAGCAGTCAGGTAATTGTCTGGAGCTGTTATGGAAAGAGATTGTTGGTTTTATGGGATTACTGAGGAAGAAAATGGGATTCTCCCCTTTATATCTTTACATTTCCCTCTGTAAAGCTCCGCTGCGCCATCCATTTTAGCCAGGAAAGTGTATTTCTGTAAAAGCCTGGCTGAAGAAGAAATCTCCAATCTGCATTTTACGACTCTCATCGAGTTTGTCTGATCCAGGCATTTGTTGCAGCTCTCTGCAGAGGCTTTGCTCACTCCTTGTTCTGCAGGACACCTATTTGAACTGAGCATGAAGGGGTAAAGCAGCACAAAGATTGAATTTCAGAGATTCATGTGTTCTCAAAAGCCTAATGCCTACTGTTGCAAAGTACTTCTAAAATATGTCTGTAAATGGTTTGGATATGCAATCTTGCTTCTGTGATTTCACAGGTTTAGTTGTGGCACTCTTCTAAAGGAATTTACATTATTGATAGAAAGTACTCTGATATGTTTGAACAAAGGGCCTGAGAGTAAAATTATTGAAGGCACCTAAGTGATCTAAGCTATTAATTTCATTCTCAAAAGTGAATATTTGGATGCTTTTTCATCTGCTATCCTACATCTCCGTGACGTAAGAATCTGGGGTGCTTTTTTCCCAAAGTCTTATGAGTATTGTGTGCTTGAAACCGTATTAGGCTAATTGTTTAACTTCAACACTGGAAAATATATCATTGAATTTAATTTGGGAAGGGGAGCTTTCATAAACTTCTAATCAGTGAAATGTTAAAAATAACAGTATCACACAGTTTTGCTGGCACAAAGGTGATGAGCATCAATCAAAATCAATCATGTTGCAATTTTGTGTTGTAGGTGTGGGTATTGGTGATTTCTTCTTTTTAGCAATTAAAGAGTTCCTTAAAATAAAAAACAAAAAAGTAAAGAAAAAAAGCAAAAGGCTTGTTACTTTTTGCCATACATTTTTGTATGCTTTACTTGATATATGCTGTTGCTTAATTTGTGCATCCCATCACTATAGCAGTGCAGAGCAGTTACTGCAGATGCCATCATCCTCTTAAGTACACATACTGTACATTAAGCCACATGTTTATTTTATGACCTAAGCATTTTAGAGCTTTCCTAGCAATAACTAAAAAAACTAATGGAGTATAAATGAGAAAATTGCCTTTTTCATTTGATAATTTAGGTTTACCAGGATTTTTTTATTACTTTAGCTAACACAAAATTTAAGATCAGGGCAGATGAGATCAGTTTGAGCTGTATCAGCAAGTGTTTGAAATAGATTTACTGTGAGCCACGTACTGCAGCTTTCTGAAAATACAGGTGTATGCAAACTGTCCAAAGAATCAAAACTGGGGCATCCTAAGTCAAGCCCTCTGATTACTGGGTGGAATGATTTTCCAGTGTTAGATGCTGTGCCATCACCCACTGCCAATGGGCTAATGGGGTTTTACCACAGATTTCTGCCCTGGGATTCATTAGTGTTTGCCTCCTTACTGTCCCTGTGTATACCACAAACATGACTGACGAGCCTTTCATTGTACTTCAGGAATATTTTTTAATTGTTCTTTTGCAAATATTTGCATTTCATAATAGCAATTTCAGGGTGATCCCTATTAATTCACAAGCAGCTGAGTGTGGGACTTGATGCTTCAGAGTTTATTTAGAGTAGATTAGAGGGCATTAATCTTCCCCAAGGCTAATGGGGCAGGAATGTATTGTTTTATTCATGCTTGTAGAGCAGAAAGATGCAGTCTTACTCAGAGGGTTAGAGTATCTCCCACTGACCTTCATCGACAATCCTGTTATTTCAGCCATGTTTTGTACAGTTCTTCCACAAAGAGGTGCAAGGCTTATTCTGTTGACTGTAAACAACCACACAGAATGTTTCATTTGTGCATAGCACACTGTTCACACCTCTCAATTAATGCCCTGCTTCTGGGGGTGATAATCTGCTGCAGGGTCAATTAGTTAAACGCAGCTTTCAGTTGCACCAGGGCAATCTAGAGGGATCTGACTATCCATGTCCCAGGAAGATGCTAAAGCCATGGATGAAGCCACAGAGATGGATTTGCCATGCAGGGCAGGAATTTATTTTTACTGCAGTTAACATAATCCTTGTGATCTGGTGAAGGAGGTCATTCAGGCCAACCCCCAGTCACTTGCACTAGATGTGGGGTGCACCCCATGTTCACTGTCAGGTTGAGTTGAGCTGCCTGAACACTGGGATCACCTGGGAGCTCAGAGTCAAATGAGACCCACCATCCTTCTCTGTTCAATTTTTTGCTGATCTTTAGTAAACTCATTGCCATTGAAGCTGGGGCTGGTGCCTGACTTGGCCACAAACAGCACGTGTTTGATATTGGATATGCTTACATTCTTGACAAACTGAGTGCACAGGTTCTGTTTGTGTGCTTGAACCTTTAAGTGACATTTTAGGTGGTGACCTGCAGGAGGGCAGTTTAACCCCATTGCTCCTCACTGCTCAGAGGCAGAAATCTCTGTTTATTCACAGGCAGCACACACAGCTGCTGTCCCTGAGCAGGGCAGGGAGCTGACCAGACCCCTGCTGGTGCAGTCACAGTGTCCAGATAGGAGAGACAGAAAGGTGGCTGTCACCAGAGCTGATGCTTCACAGGAGTAAAAGCACAGTTGCTCTCTCCAGCCTTCACATGGGCTGGGAGTTAGAGGAATGGAGAGGCAGGGCAGCACCACTCCCCAGATCCCAGATGCTCGAGGTTCAGGCTGAGGCACAGGGCTGAACAGCAGTGTGGGTTTGCTGCTGGCTGCAGGTGTTCAGGTGTGACCTGTAACCATTGCTGTTGGCCACTGTCATGGGACCTGCTGCAGCCCAGGTAACTCCCATCCCAGTGGAAGTCCTTGGCCAGGAATGAATTTCAGCAGAAAATCACAAATCCAAATCTCAATCCAGTAGCAAAACAAGCCAGATTATTTTTGTAGAAGCTACTAAATGTTTAACATATTTCAAAATATTTTTAGAATCTACTCCCATGACTAAACCTTGTCCCTGTCTCCAGCATGCATGCAGAACCAATCCCATCCATTCCCAGGGGAATGACAGCTATAGTACCTGTAAGGAGTTCATGCTTTATTAGTCAAGTGGAACATTAATAAAACCTGGCCCACTTCATAATTTCCAGAATAGTCATTAATTAAAAAAAACTGTTTATTGGAACAGAAAACAAGTATTTGATTAGCTTTGTTACAGAACAATAGCTCTCCTCATTTTTATTCTGCATATTTTATTCTTTCTTTAGAAAATTCTCTTAAGAAGCATTTGAGATAATTCGCTTTTTAAAACTGTACAGTTTCTATGGTTTTGCTTTTTAAATGAGAGTACACTTTGTAGATTTGATTATTATATTTTTCTGTTAATATTACATTGGGCATTACAAAAGCATTCCCCACCACAGTGAAAAGAAAGTGATCCTGTTGGTTTATTGTAAAAGAAAAAATAATTAAAACAAAATTGCAGAGCTGTGGCATACTCAATCCAATTAGAGCATGACTCTTTACTACTTTTCATTTACCACATGAGAAAAAAAATAGTTACACCAGCAAGATTTCATTTGAAGCTGTTCATGCATGCTGTTTGTACTGTATTTGATGGCATAATATTGTTTTGTTTACAACCTTTTCTTTCTCGTCATTCTATTATATTCTTTATATGTATATAGTTTAAAAAAAAAAGATTATACAAAGTATTTTGTTCTACCTCTGTAAAAATCATATTTGTGAATAAAGTCACGTTGTCTGTGGAGTATGGTATTGTGAATACAGCATTAACAGCTGGTGCTTTGCTTTTATTTGGGGGGTGGGAGTGGTGCCGATGTCTCTTGCTGGAGGGGTGGGGTCTGACTACCAAGGTGGGAACAGGAGGCTCACAGGGAGGGATATGCACATTTCTTCTGCTCTGAAAATAGATTTCAGCCAGCTCTGGCTCAGGTGTGTGGTCCTTAATACTGCACCTTACAGGATTTTGATTGAGACAGATTCCTGTGCTCAGGTCGAAAGTGAAGCAGGCAGAAGAATCACTAAATTCCAGGGATCCTCCTTGTATTGCCAGAAAGTGGAAAAAGATCACCTAGAGCCTGTGCCACAGAGTGTACAAGTTAACAAACAGATTAAATGGAACCTGCTTGCAGGAAAATTAAAGGCAGGAAAATGTTTTTGGGAAGGCTGGTGGATCACACCATCACAAAATGGCCAAGGATTTATAGTTTTAAAATAGTAGCAGTTCATAGGAGTATTTGAATAGGCAAAAGAAACTTCTCACTGTTATATTAAATAAGGCTAAGAGAAATAAATATAAGGTTACCATACAAACACAGCTTTCAATAAAGGGTCTTTTTCTGGGGTATAGGAAGTAATTTTCCCATAAGCACTGTCCTTTATATGAAGGTTTTGGATCTTCCCATTAAATACATACTGTGAGATGTCTTTGGGTTTAGACAGCCCTGGCATGGCAGTTTTCATGTCCTGTGTTATGTGTTGAAATTTCACTTGTGTTTTAAAGAAGACTTAAAATATGTTTTCCACTTACCTGGAAATCACTAGAAAAATGTAAACAGAAACCTAAAGTGGTCCTGGTCCAGCTCGCTTCCTTCCTATCAGAATAATCACATTTTACATTTTTTAAACCTTGTTTATGTAGATTATACATGTTTTAATATCTGTGCCTTTTTCAGTGTAAGAAGGCGACTTTCATCTTGGAAGCAAAATATATGCACCATTACAGCTATTTTCCTGTTGTGTAATTTAAAAGGTCTTTCATCTCCAAGACAGCTTTCTGAAAACTCTGGTAACATCAGATGGAGGACAAAAAGAGAAATGTGTTTAACTGTATAAATACTGGAGCATTGTGAATCTTCTAGGGGGAACCAAAGCCACCAGTTGTGCATCATTCATTCATGCAGGCAGTGCTGCTCTGCCCTCACACTGCACAGGTGCACACAGCTGTAAAAACAAGTGCTGATGGGACTGCTATTCCTGGTTTTGGATGCTGGGCAAAAAAACTGCACAGCCACAGGGAGGGGTGGCAGGTAGGCTGGGTTTATGTGTGCTCGAAACAACTGAGTCCTTGGGGAAATTCTTCTTAGGTCAAAAATTAATTTCTCCCCTTGAGAGTGTACAAGTTAACCCCCCCACATGTAGGTTAAATCAGCAATACAGATAAAAGACTCAATGTGGATGACCAATCTGGGACTTCAGGCTTTTTAAGGTTTGGGCTATTTGGCTGATGTACTGCACTGTCCCAGATTTTTCCTGCAGTAGCTTTGCTCACACTTCTCAAAAATACAGGATTGTGTTGCTCCCATCATTTCCAGCATATAGTACAGGTGGGATTCATCTTAACCAGCCTCTGAGCAGCTTTTCATGGGCTTCCACAAACCACCCACTCATCATAAGCTTCCTCTGTGGTAAATAAAGGAAAACAGAGCATTTTTAGAGTGGGAATTAACTGGTTTGGCTTCCACTTCACCATGAGGTGATTCATCCTATTCACCCCATACCCTGAAACAGAGAACATCAAAATTTTACTATGTGCTAAGTACAAAAGCATCTCATTTCTATATTGTAATCCTATTCCCTCAAAACTGAATTGAATCACTTGTATGAAAAAGAGAAAATATTTCTGATTTTATAGACCTTGAATTTATAGACATCCTTATCCTATTCCTCCTTCATTTCTCCTGTTCTATGGGGATGACTCATGTCCCCTCTTACAGAAGATGTCCTGTGCCTTGATCAGCTTGCTACCCTTCACCTTAACTTGTCCAAGTCTGTTTGCACTACACTCCGAGGTACACAGGGGCCAGGCTGTGGTCCAGTGTCACAGTGATGGTTTTAGATATTTAAAATATTTTCCTCCTCTTTAGAATGTCTAATGTTTTGTTGCCCTTCTCCACTGCTGACCATTGAGGTTCTGCTCACAGTCACTCATTTACAGCAGCACCAAATGCTTTTCTTCAGGTCGTCTTTATATCTTTATTGTTAAGAAGTATTTAATTATATGAATTACTTTATCTCCAGTAATTTCATCTGCCATCCTCACAGTCCTACAGTATCACAAGGTCTCTCCAGGACACTTCACAGCTACTTTTGTTTTTATAATGATAGGTAATAGAGTGTGTGTCCTTCACAATCTGCCACCTCTTCCTTTTTCCTATTGTTTAAAGTGGGGAATCACCATCACTACAAAAACTGTCCCTTTCTTCACAACGTGTTTCTTAACTTTTAATCCTTCATTAACCCACAAAAAAACTTTCCCCTAATGCAATGGCAACTGAGTTTATTTAAGAACCTTTCATGAGACAGCTTTTGCCAAATGTTTTTAGGAATACTAAATACAAAGTAATCACACACATCATTGAACTCACTGATTTTTTTCAAGTCTTTTAGGAGGCTTTTGCAACACAACTTGACCCTGCAAAAGCCTTGTTGCTTCTTCCTCCTCTTTACACCATCAGTTATGCAGGATCTAGACACAGGGGTGTGGATGCTGCTTATAGAGTAGGACACAATAAAATAGCTTTGATATCCCTTTAGAGTCAGAGGAGAGCTTCTGGATGAGCTAAAAATGGAGCTGTGGAGCTCAGCTAGTGCAAGCCCCACTCAACACAGCACTTGGAGCACATAGCTCAGGGTCATTCCCAGGCACTTTGGAGTATCTCCAGCAATGCAGACTCCTCTGGGTCCTCTTTGTGAAAAATATCTTTTGAAGATCTCATTGAAATTTCCCTTGATGCTGTTTGATTGCCAACCAGCTCCCCAAAAGGAGATGCCTTGTGTAGACAAATCCCTCTGTAGGTTCCACCACCAAGGTTGTCATTGTAGAGCACACTCAGGCAAGCAGCACACATGGAAGGATTTAAAAATAAATTCTTAATCCATGAGCTGAATCCCACCCTCTGGGCAGGATTCAGTGCTTGCTGCTGAGTGGTTGATGTCACTGCAGATGCTGTGGGTCCCCTGCCCACCCTGCAGCACTCCTGCCAAATGGCTGAATCTGAGGTCTTGCTTGTTTGCCAGCCCTGTGCTGGTGGCTAAAATCTTCTGAAGTGCCTCAAATAATGTTGGATGCTTACATTCAGGGATCTGAGTCCTACATCATGTGTCTAGTAGTTGGATTCTGTATCTTCTACCAAAATTTAACGTATGGGAGGGAATTTGACAGAACAGCAGCTTCCCAGATAATCCACCAGTCCAAAAGAGGCAGCAGCTTCTGAAAACCCTAATTTTGCTGTCAGAACTGGATTCAAGGCAGGGCTGTGACTTCAGCAGCATTACCTGAGTGTGTGCCAAGCCCGGGCACGAGCTGCTGCAATGACCACAGCAGGGCACAGCTGGAGAGCTGCCCTTGTGCTGGGTAGCACTAAAAGGCTTTGTGTACCTCACAGCCAGTGACAGCATTGTGTGGGACCAGAGGCACTGTTGCTTTCCAACACAAGACAGCAAGAAAGGGAAAAAAGCCAAAAGCATGAGTTCATATAAAATAAAAACTAGTCTACAGCAGTGCTCCATTAGCACTTGTTTCTAAATGTGGCATCCATTTCCTTCTTGCAGGAAGTCTGCTCCGTTTTCCAACAGGTTTCATTGTATTGTCCAAGTTAGAAATGTTTGTTCCTGAAGGTGGATATTACAACAGAGAGCATCAGCAAGAGCAGTTCTTGAGGTGTTCCTGATGCTACACCTGAGCTATTGAGCAGAGGCCAAACTGGACCCACAGCTTTGTGATCCTGATAAAAGCATTGCCAAGGCTGAAAGGAAAACAGAGCTCTGGTAAGTGGCTGAAAGGGAAAAACAAACTTCCACTTTTTCCAGAAAAACTCTTTGATTCTTTAGACATTATTTCCATAAGCAGTGCTTATGACACAATGCTTTTTGAAAAGGGAGATTGATTTAACATCTGGTGTGTCTAGCTGTGCATGGTTGAAGGAGCTGAGTGACCTCACCCAGTGAGGTGTTCCTTGCAGAACAGAAGGTCTTTAGCATTGACTTTCTCATCTGTTCTACTCTTCATTCTAAGAAGACACGGTATTTTCATTATATTTTATTTAAATATGGTAATATAGAAGCTGGAGTAACAAGCTGGGATCTGTTAGGGTTAATCTGAAATTAATTACCTTCCTGCCCATGCCATATATTTCCATTACAAAGACCCTCAAGACAGGCAACTAAGCCAAACTGTGTTCCTAAGCAGTTAGACAGGATTTGGCTTTCCTTACAGTTACAGCACTAAACGCTGAGCTTTTTGAAGAAACACTTTGGTTGTGTTTGCTAAGTTCAATTGCTTTTATTTTTTTCTCTGCAGTTCAGAGAATAAAGACACTATAACAACATGATGAGCTAATGACCTGACTTGGGAAATAAAACATTTCTTGATGCACTACTGGCTCATAGACATCCAGGTATCTTTTTCTGGAAGGTTTTGTTATGGCTCTGTCTGCTGAACCAGACCCATGCTGGATTCTCTGTTGTGCCAAATTCCTGCCCTGCTCGACTTCCACCTCCTTATCCTCCATGGCCAAGAGGCCAGATGGAGATGGATGTACTTTGTAGCTGGTCCCCCTCTGACATGAGGATGTGAGGCACAAGAATAGAATCTTGCAGGAAAGATGTGGGTGCTTGCTCTGCAGCAGAGAGCTTAGAGCAGAGGTTCCTGTACCATCACCAAGGAACGGAAAGGATGGACATCTTTGTAGTGATCTGCCAGAGCTGTCATCTCATTGCTGAGCAAGTTCCTGTCTCTGATAATCTTCTTCTTCTCAGTAAAAAAAAA